GCTGTGTGTCGTAGGAAATGTGTGGCAAGAAGAAGAAGAGAGAAAAAGAAAAAAAGTAAAAAAAAGTTTAGCGGCTGATCTGGTTATATAATGGAGTTTATGATTTTAAAATGAAATGATTTCCTCCGAGCTTGCCAACTTCATTTCAAAGACACAAGGGACACTGGTCTAGCACACCTGAACTAGGCTGAATATCCACGTACGAGGAGCGAGAACACTGGTCTAGCTGACCTGAACTCGACTGAATATCCACGTACGAGGAGCGAGAACACTGGTCTAGCGCACCTGAACTCGACTGAATATCCACGTACGTGTAGCGAAAACACTGGTCTAGCATACCTGAACTCGACTGAATATCCACATACGAGGAGCGAGAACACTGGTCTAGCTGACCTGAACTCGACTGAATATCTATGTACGAGCGGCGAGAACACTGGTCTAGCAGACCTGAACTCGACTGAAAATCCACGTACGAGGAGCGAGAACACTGTCTAGCAGACCTGAACTCGTCTGAATATCCACGTACGAGGAGCGAGAACACTGGTCTAGCTGTCCTGAACTCGACTGAATATCTATGTACGAGCGGCGAGNACCTGAACTCGACTGAATATCCACGTACGAGGAGCGAGAACACTGGTCTAGCACACCAGAACTTGACTGAATATCCACGTACGAGGAGCGAGAACACTGGTCTAGCACACCAGAACTCGACTGAATATCCACGTACGAGGAGCGAGAACACTGGTCTAGCACACCAGAACTTGACTGAATATATATGTACGAAGAGCGAGAACACTGGTCTAGGAGACCTGAACTCGACTGACGTGCAGGACGGAGACCGTGCAAGTGTTGTTCCCGACATCACCTGATGACACGGTCTAGTCAGTGACGAATTAGAGGTGAAATAAGTGCAACATGCATAAAGAAATGAACTTTCTCGTTTGTTCGGAATGTTCGATATTTTTTTACAACACTTCTCTTTATCTTCACTTCTTGTTTGTTTGTCTATCTGTCTGTCTGTCTGCTACAAATCTTATAACCGATATTGGACACACTTCTACCTGTCCAATCGATCTGAAATTTGGCATACTTGCGTAAAGTTGGAGACAATGCATGAATCAATTGACAGAATAAATAATTTTATTTTATAAATTAAAATTTTTTTTCATTATTAAAAAAATTAAAACACAATTTCGTCTGCTACAAATCTTATAATCCATATATGACACAATTTGACATGTCCAATTGATCTGAAATTTTACACAATTGCATAAAGTCATAGACAATGCATGAATCAATTGACAAAATAAATAATTTTGAAAATTTACAAAATTTTGATATCTTAAAAAATTTTTTCAAAAATAATTTTTTTTTTCAATATTTGAAAATAAAATTAGAAATTCATTTTACATGTGTAACATACAAGACACTGGATTGTTCAGAAGTGTTGTCTTTAAAAAGTAATTTTTAAACGCATATTATTTTAAATTATGATCGTTAAAACAATTTCTTCTCAAAATTGTTTTTATTTCCACCAAGGTTGACTGAAAAAATCAAAAGATAGTAATGATGAAAATTTTCTCTTAAAATTATGGTAATATTGTTTCGGATAAAATATTACTAATATATTTGATGGCTTAATATGATTTTCTGAGTTAGATTACGTACGGACTGATGTTTGAAAACGAGTTGAACCAAAGCCTAAGTTGTGCTGCACACGTTGAGGCAGCTAACGATTTGTCACGCTGTGATTGATGGACACGAGCACAAACCCATAAAACACGGCCAAGTGTTATGATCTCATTAATAAAATCATTAATATATTATATGCATCGATATGATTGTCATGTATACTTGGCTGAAGACATTATATATAAAGAAAAAATATTCTAACATAGGACGAAGAACTTCTGAGTTTCCCTATGACTGCTACAGCAGCGAGCATATTTTAGAATATAATAATTTTTCAAAAGCGTTATTTGCACTTTTTTTCTCGATATTGTTGATTTTCCAACTTCGGATGAAGCCTCCATGCAGCACATCATCCCGAAACATGGCTTCTCTAAACCATTCGGTAACTGTGCCGAGAACCATCGAATCGGCGGATTAGCGGCGTCTAGGCCTATCGCATTTTAGGAATTCATTCACCTTGCAGCCGCCTTAGGCAGATGAACTATCGTCGTGTCAGTAGTCTCGCAATTTTGTTCCGTTAAACAGCCCTTGAAAACCAACGTAAGTTAAGTTGCTAAGCTAAGTTTTGAATCATGTACCTACTGTTCAGTATATTCTTCATGTACGTTTCAATTTGCTTTATGTTCTCGATTAGTCATTTATCAAAATTTTCATTGAGCCAGTCTATCGTTTCCGTCATTTTATTTTGTTCTCCTGCTCTCTGGGCAGGTCCACGGATTTAAGTAAATTCCACCAGCTACAAACGCTGCGCGTTTTTACCCCAAGCCAAAGTGGCGTTTACAATGCCTCGGCATTGACAGTAACATTATTGCAATAATGAAATTGTGGTGTCAGCTTCGATGAATTTGTGAACAGAAGAAAATTTGTGAAATTTATTAAAAATTTCTCGTAAGTATTGTCTAATAAAGAATTTTAAAATCATTTTTATTAAATGTCCTTACAAATACATTAAAAACAACATAACATTCTCACAGTAAACTTCCCTTGAAAAATACACTAAGAAAATGTCCCGTCGGTGGATGCATTAAAACGTCCTCCATAATTCTAGTCATCTCAGGTCTCCCTAAATTGGTAGCAAAACAATTTCCCAGGAGCTTCTTTTCACCCTGTCTGACAATACACTCACAAAAATGAGTGAGTCAAACAGTGCTCGAATATTGACACACTTTTTGCACGCCATTGTCAGCACTTTCTGCAGCAGCTTTGGTGCTTTGCTGGACAAAACTTGGTCATGGCGACTCAAACAAGGTAAAAAGTGCTTCGTTATTTTGGTAGAGTCTCACTCATCTCTCAGAGTGCATATTATAGGTGTGTACTTAACGTTTAGGTGATTTCAACAAATCTTTATGGAAAACACGGCGTTTACTTAGCGTTTTCGTTACTTTTTAAATTCTTGATGAATTTGATATTGATGTAGACTAGTGATATAATTACTTACCCACTAAACCTGTCGCATTTCATAATTCACAAGTGGTCTGTTCGGGATCGATGCACTAACACGACATTCAGTTCTCATGGCATGAAATAATGAACGACTATTTAAATTTAACAAGACCGAAAACCCTTAAACTGCACCATGGCAAAGTAAATTGTCAGCGTTGTTCTTATAAATAACTCACTATGAATTCTGATTACGCACTTTTCATGTTCACTATTCGTGATGTGCTATCGCTGTCGTATATTGCCTGGAGATTGAACAGGGCCTATATATAGTCTCCCTGATCGATGGCGCTTCGATGAACATTCGGTGGCTCCTCTCAGAAGAAATTTAGAAAGAAACCTTCTAGTAACACTTCCCTGCTTGTACCGTAAATGTGTCATATAGATCGCAGTATACAGCGTTAACGTATGCATACACAAATATTGCTCAAGTCCATGGAATAATGATTTATTTAGATTTTATTTGTGCTTCTGTCAAATATTCAAACAGGTTTGCTTAAGTAACTAAAAAATATGGTTTTCAAGGCACATTTTACTAGATTTTTTCTACGTTACGGATCCGAACTCATCACTTATATAGTGTGATGATGGCATTGATACCCGTATAATTATATACATAAATTATACCTGTATCATATATATACACGATTCAAATACATATCGTATATATACGATCCAACTGCCTTCGCAGGATTCAGACGACGAATGTGAGGGATAAATAAAGGCAAATTCCATCTTAGAATTATCTTATTATGAGTGGTAGGTAACAAAGTCATTACAGAGGAACATGTACACACAGATTACACACTACACAGCCATCCTAATCATCACACCCTGATTACACACTACACAGCCATCACTTTCGACCGTCAGGCCGACGTACTCCTGCTGTGGGTACTACATTTCTCCAATAGTTCCAGCTGCCGACTGGCTTCCTCTATAAGAGTGCCAGGCCTTCTATGGACAATGCGCTTCTGCACCTGAAAAGGTATTATCCTCTTTACTCGTAAACTGCCAAGCACCTGAGGTAAATTAGAAGTGATCTAGTAAATTCAAAGCCAATTACGTCTGCATGAAGATAGCTGTATCTTCATCATGTACTCTATCTAAGATAGGGCCGTGATCTACAGCCATTTATTTGCATCCATAAGCTATTCTCTGTCACAACGCGTTTGATAACGCATTTATATTCTGAGAGCATCCCTGTCATGGCGTTTTTTCTACGAATATTTCAACTCTGAGTAACGCAGGCGACTGCTACCAGAACTATTTACTATGATTGAAGCTAGCACGTACCTGCCTACCAGTGTCACGTCAGCCTCATACGCAAAAAAGTTTTATTTGCATTGACTTTAATGTTCTGTTAATTTGAAGCTGAAATTGCCGTTCGTCACCTTCGCCAGCATTTCTATGGATGGTCATGAAATGCGAATCAAGCGTCTTATTTGATAAAATAGTAAGTTCTGTGCGATGGACTCGTGATAAGCCCGTAGATCTCGGTACATAACTTTGCAATGAATAAATTATGTAGTACTGAATTTCACGTCATTCAAAACACAGACATGAATTTGGGCTTAATTTTAACACAATTATATAATACGTGGTGCATTATCAACATTGATTAGGCCTTCATGATCTGTCGTTGATTTGTAACCACCCGGCCACTGTGTCGATCCAGACCTGAAATTTTACTACTAATTGCGGTTTTCGAGTTCCCAACTCAATGCTCCGATCTTGCTGGTCTTAATCACTCGGTGATCGCAAGCTTGAATTAGATCAAGTCTGATTCCTGGTGGTTTAGAAGTTAACCTGTTTGGCTTTTCGAGTCGGTTATTTGGTTAACACAGTTGGATCACAGCTTGCAAAACTGAAGAAGAATCGACAATGGCTTCTTATTAAACCACTTTCCTATATAAAAATTTCATGACCCAATTTGCATTTATGTTTCTTTCAAGCCAAAAAGGCTCGTCACAATGGCCTTGGGAGAAAATCTGCTGCGAATCGGCCACCCACTGTAATGACCAGCTGACCATGGTCTTTCAGGATTCATTTGTGTGTTATGAGATTAAAACCGTGACGAGTAATTTTATTATGCAATCCGAATATTCTTTTTGCCTTCATATATTGTTTAACGACGCTAGTAGATCTTTCTGCCTGCATTTTTGAAGAAAACAGTTTAGCTTATAATTTCAATAAAGACTACAACAGCGGTGTATTGTGTTGAAAACGATAGTTCCCAAAAATTGCATGGATGTTGTGTTTGATTAGACTATTGGGTATTTCAGATAGTTTAGGAAACCAGAATATCAGTTGGTCTGAATGAGGTGCCCACTGCCCTGGCTTATGTTTCACACGAGCAGATTGTATCTGGAAGTACCGACTATTTAGAAGGTACCTTACCTAGTTATCTCAACGGTCAGGTTGATCAGTTGGTACCACCAGCAGCATCATTTGTAAGAAGGTTGTCACGGTTCCTGGAAATAAAAAAGAGTGCGGTTTTCAAAATATTTTAACCGATACGAGACAGTAAAACTAGACGTATGACCTCAACCACGGTTGAGCTCTTCTCCCACGTAACACGATGAGTTTAGACGTGTAATACCTTTTTGCCTGTCGTACGAGCCAACGTTCTTTTTGTAGTGCTTGAATTAAAATGTATTGCATAAATGCAATATTTTTCACAAAAAGTATCACAAAAAATCGTGTCGCAATCACGCTTGTGGTATAACAGCGTGCACTTTATGGGCTCATGCTGCTTCCCAGAAATCCGTGCCAACATTTAACCTGCCAACTTTGCATTTATTTCCCACGCATTACCCTGTATATTTTTTGCCCATGCGGATGGGCATTTCGACTGGAAGGGGAGCAAAAGATGACAGCACGTAGCGCAACCCTGTTCATTGTTTACCCATGCCGGGGAGCACGTAGAGCAACCATGTTCATAGTTTACCCATGCCGGGCAGCACGTAGCGCAACCCTGTTTATTGTTTACCCATGCCGGGGAGCACGTAGCGCAACCCTGTTCATTGTTTACCCATGCCGAGGAGCACGTAGCGCAACCCTGCTCATTGTTTACCCATGCCGGGGAGCACGTAGCGCAACCCTGCTCATTATTTACCCATGCCGGGGAGCACGTAGCGCATGTGCACAAAGGGGCCGTAGAAGGCGACACCCGCTAGGATGAAGCAGGAGGCATACAGGTACTCGATCTGAGGGTTGTCGATGATTGGACCGATCACCAGGTAGACAGACACAACCAGAACGATCACCGGGATAACGATCGGCACCTGCCCGTTGACATTATAGATAGATCATGGTACAGAAAAATTGAGACCAAACACTATTCCTCTAAGCTCCTATATCTACGTTCTTAGTTACAACGTAAATTACGAGGTAAAATCAGGCCGCAATGATCATAGAGCGGATTCACCTTCGGGCCTAAGAACGTGCTAATTTCAACTTGGCCTTGCTTTCAACAACTCGGGCCTTGCTATTTTCAACTTAAGAACTTTTAACATGGTACTTTTCCAGACATTGATATAATTTCGTGTCGAATAATGGCTAAAACCCGTTGAGACAACCCCATCTAATCTTTTTTTTCAGACATTGATAAAATTTCGTAACGAATAATGGCTAAAACCCGCCGAGACCTAGCGACTCAAATTGAATATTGGAAATTGGAACATCATCAGTTTTCCGAAAAAAGGATCAGAATCAGAAAAAAATATTCGGACTTGCTAGATTAAATGTAACTCAGCAATCAACATTCAAGTTGAAAATCAAAAATAGTCTTTCTTCGGTAAAAAAAGTGAATCAGCGATAGTAAAGTGCGATAAGCACAAATAATTAGATATTTAAAGAAAATACAGTGAATGCATTGGTGACTCAAGTGTGCAGGAAGTGTGCATTCGAGCCCAGGCCTGAGTTAAATTTTAATACTTCTATTCGGTCGCCAGACCGCCGCCAACCGCGGCTAAAATTTCTTACCTGAAACCCAACGAGTAGAGATAGTGTAGCTACGGCAAAACTACCGATAAATAGTGAAACCTTTCGAACTAACTATCCATTGAAATAGTGAATCTTGAAAAACAGAATTAGTGCAACTAGATAAACGAATTAGAAAAAATATGACATTCGGGCAGAATGTGTTGTGATGTAGCCCACTAAGGGTAGTTCATGTGTAATCTGCCGTAAGTCTTGCAAAGCACCATTAGCCGTTAAATGCAACAAATATCGTTTGTTTATACACCTTCAGTATACGGAGCTACCGATTTACGTTCTCGTGAGACTTGACCAGACTGGAGTTTCATATGAATGCAAACACTGCGTTATGAAGGAATGCGGAGATAAATACAACGTGAGTGAAACAAAGCAAGAGTCAGTCATGAATGTTCGACAAACAGCCATATCCAGTACGGCTTCCTCCGTTTCCCCTCCTAACAGCCTTACCCCTACCCCTCCCATTCCCCCTCCCCCTCTCATTCCTCCTCCATCCACCCCTCTCATGCCGCATCCCCACTCCTCTCTCACAACCCTAACCCTGCCATAAGCCAAAACCCCACTCACACCCTTACCCTTGCTCTGAGCCCCACCCCTACCTCCGCTCCCACCCTCGCCCCCAGTACTAACCCTATCCCCACCCATAATCAGACCTTCAGTCCTACCCCCACCCCCACAATTACTTCTGACTTCACTTTCTCCCCTGCCCAAACCCCACATTCCCACATTGCTCCCAACCCTACCATGAACCTTTTGGATTTGGAGATCATTGGTTTACCATCATCTTTTCCAACCTTACCTTCCTCCCTAGAAGGCTGTGTACCCTCAGGCAGACCGCGAGTTAAAAAAGGTGTTTGCTGGAAATACCTTCAAAAGAAATGTGAATACGGGAAGAACGGCGAAGGATGCACATTCTCACACCCTAGAATGTGTTATAATTTCTTTGATTATTGAAGCGGTCATCCCAGAGGGTACAAAAAAGGTAAGGATTGCCCCTTCTATCATCCTACGCTGTGCTGGAGTATCATGAACAGAGAGGACGGCTCCAGAGAAAACTGTCGTTTCCACCACATCAAATCAAGAAAAACAAGTGGAAAAATGGCAATAGAGCGAGAACCAGTGTTTTGCCCTGACAGCATATGGCGATACCCACCGCAAAGCCTGCCCCTAGCGCTCAGGGAAGACAGAGCAACACCGTTGGAAGGAGCGGTGATGTACGAGGTGGAAATGACCGTAGTCAATGGAGAAGGACAGACGACTTGGCTAATCCACTGAGTAGCCGATGTGTACGGAGCAGAGAAGCACGTGAGGATCAAGAGGTTACCCTCATTGCTTTATTAGACATGAAGGACCAAATGCAATATCAATTGGAAATGACGCAACTCCAGATAAAGGAGCTGCTAGATCAGGGACGCCTGGCAGATCGGTGTCGCTGCAGGTAAGAACACCAAGAAGGGAAGAGTCTGGCATCCTACTGGCCAATATCGAGGGGCTCTTCCCACAAAGAGCGCTCCACAAGATTGGCGTGCTGAGAGAGATGGCCGACGAAGGTGGGATCTTTATGATTGCACTACCGGAGTCACACCTAAGGAAAGATATCCTGGATGCAGAAATTGCAATGGAAGGATTTTAACATTATCGTGCGGACCGAATTGAAGGGAGGAAGAAGGGAGGAGTAATTGTTCACCTTGGAAACTCCCTCGCAAGAAGCACGGTGGAATTAAGATCGGAATCTGGAAACTCTGATGGATTTGTTGAACACGTACTACTCCACATAAAAAAACTTGACCTCTGCGTAGCCATTGTCTATAGGCCGCCTGCTTGCCCATTGGAAAATGTTAACAAAGCCCTGGAGGATATAGAAACCAGGGTGGCTGCACTGGGTGAACCAGTCCCCAGCCTGATAATGGGGGAGACTTCAATTTTCCACGTATCCGAGGGACAAGTCTGAGCGACGTAGAGGTTGGTGACCGCGACAGAAGTCAAGAAGCCAAACTAATGAAGTTCGCTGCGGAACACTTGCTCAGTCAGCAGGTACGGTTGCCGACAAGGGACGATCTCTTCTCTACTGATAATGAAAGAATGGTGGTTGACGTTCGGGTTGGAGAAACCTCACTGTCAGACCATCAACTGACGAGGGTGGATAAGACAATTGGAACTGATACACAGCCCATGGCTATACCCCAAAAGGTACTGGCATGACTTAACTTTCACCATCGAAGAACGGATTGGGAGGCAATGTGGAATGAACTTGACGAAACTGACAGGAGAGAAGAGTTTCACGATATGAATACAGAGGAAATTTACACAAAACTTGGTGAGAAACTAGCACAGGTATGTGTCCGCCATACCCCGAGAAAAAAGGGTCCCAAAGTCCGCAGTATTCCGGGAGACAGATGAATCCTCATGAGAAAACGCACACGTTTGAATAAACAAATAGCTGAATTCACTAGTGATCTGAGGAGGCAGAGACTAATAGATTTACTCAATGAAATTGAACTCAGGTTGCAGGACTCGCATAGGATAGAAGAACAAGCTGCCGAGAAACGAGTAGTGGCGGTAATCAGAGAGAACCACAAGTACTTTTTCAGATACTTTTCAGGCCAAAACAAAGACGCCAGTGGGCCCGCTGAAGGATAACGATGTCCTTCGGAGATGACATCGGAGATGACCAGGGCATGTGTGAGTGACTGGGATCGCAGTTTGAATCAGTCTTCAGTAACCCCCGCTACTCAAGGGAGGAGAATGAAATCGAAGTTCTCCGGGAACTGCCAGGAGGAAGAGGGTTGGACAACATTGAGTTTGGGCCAGAAGATATGGAAATAAGTATCAAAGAATTGGCGACGTTCTCAGCACCAGGACCGGATGGAATCCCGGCAGTGCTGTTGAAGAAGTTTGTTGGAACTCTGAATGCCCCGCTCACAATACTCTGGAAAGCCTCGATGATGGAAGGAATTATTCTTGGGGGCCTAAAAGTAGGACTGATAACGCCAATCCACATAGGAGGTGCGAGGGACAGACCCCAAAATTACAGACCTGTGACCTTGACCTCACATGTGATCAAGGTTTTTGAGAAGGCAGTAGTCAGGAGGCTTGTCCGGTATATGGAAGTGGCTGACCTGTACAATAATGGGCAACATGGTTTCTGGCGTAATCATTCCTGTTCGTCGCAGTTAATGGAGCACCATCACCGTCTTGTGGCCCAGCTGGAAGAGGGAGCTGGCGTGGACGTGGTATACCTAGACTTTGCTAAAGCTTTTGGAAAAGTTGACCATGGGGTGCTCTTTAGAAAGCTGAGGCTGTTGGGGTAGGAGGAAGCCTGTTGAGGTGGATCCACAGCTTCTTTACAGATAGAGTACAAGCTGTCGCAATTGGAAACTCGAAATCGAGAGAAGCGAGGTTGAAAAGCGGAGTTCGCTGGGCTCAGTGCTTGGACCGATCCTCTTCCTCATTTACATTGCCGATATTGACTCGGAACTCACCCACGCATCTACATCACATTTGCAGACGATACAAAAGTGCTGATGAAGATCACAGATGACCCAGACTGCGAGAGGTTACAGGATGATCTGTCATCAATCTACGATTGGGCCCTAGTGAACAATATGCAGTTCAACGGCACCAAGTTTGAAGTAATGAGATACAGAGTCCGCACAGAGATCGGGATGCCACATCGCTACTTGGCATCAGATGGCACAGAAATTGAGGAGAAGCAACTAGTTCGAGATCTCGGAGTGTTGATGAGTACTGAAGCCACGTTCGATGCCCATATCGAGGAAATAGATGCGCGCAGCCGGCAACGGAGGGGGGGGGGATATAGAGGACATTTCGAACGAGAGAAGCAGCACCAATGATTACACTCTTCAGAGCCTTCGTGCACCCCAATCTTCAGTATTGCTGCCAACTTTGGTCGCCACTCAAGGCGGGTGCAATGCGGAAACGAGAGGCAGTGCAGCGGACCTTCACGTACAGGATCAGCGGCATGAGGGAGCTGAACCTGGACTACTGGGAAAGGCTGAAGCACTTGGGACTGTATTTACTGGAGAGGAGAAGAGAAAGGTTTATCATACTGTACACTTGGAAGATGATAACCGGACTGGCTCCAAACTTTGAGAGTGAGACCTCCAGAATAATGATACGTTACAACGAAAGGAGGGGGAGACTGCAGGGTTCCCCCATTTAACAACCGGTCCGCGGCCAGAGTACAGACTCTTCGTGAGGGATCAGTGCCCGTGGTAGGAAAGAGGCTCTTCAATGCCTTACCCAAAGCGCTGAGAGGAGGGGAGTTCACCCTTGCAACATTCAAGAGACGACTGGACAATTGGTTGAGAATGATCCCGGATTGTCCAGTAATAGGAAACTACCCTCAGCAAGTGACAAGCAACTGCATCTTGCATCAGCTTGCCCAAAGGAGGGTAAACATACTGAACACATCAAACGTTATATCCGAGACCCGAGGGCGGGGTGACCTTCCTAGCGACGACTCGGAGACGGACGACGACGAAGGAGGCGCATTAGCGTGACCGTGGACTAAGAAGTCCTAAACTCATCATAAGGTTACATTAGTTTTCGAATGGACGGTGCTTTGAATTTCAACCACCAACTATTAAGGGATAAAGTCAAAGTAAAATACAAATTTTCATGGCATTACATCATTCAAACCTTAAAAAAAGTCTTCATACTAACGTTCTTAAATGAGAATGGACTATTTAGATTTCATTTCACTGTGCAGTCGAATCACCCACTAAATTTCGTTCAAATTAAAGAAGCGCGGTGCTTGGACGTTGAAGATAACGTGGATAGTACTGTGTTACGAGGGCCAGTATCAGCTGAGCGTAACACGAGACTATATGCCATTATGTCAGCTTCATCACACTTTTCACGATTCAACACCAACGGGGGAATATATACGACCGCACACCTCGACTCCCAGTTGACAACGCAAGGTGAAACAGTGTGAGAGTGTAGAAGTCTAAACCACTGGGGTTTCTCTGCATGAGAAATAAGACCAATTATCTACGGATTCTACAACTGTTTCGTTCCTAAAACACACAAAAAAACCTGATAAGATTTCCTGTCACCTATAATCCCTAAATTAGTACAGATGCAACTTCACTCAATTAACATTCAAGGTTAGGACATAAAAGCCTGGTATTGGTCTCACATCATATATCAGGTGATCATGTACCTAGTCAGTAGTTACACCTGTTCCTTGTGGTTTCGCCGAACGGATGAAAAAATACTAAGGACAACTTTTACGCACTTAAGGCGCGATCTGAAACATCGCACTGACGTCGAATTCGCTTAGGCTACAACACATTATTATATGAAGCATTCATGAAATGTGTACTTCCCTCCTCTACAACGGTAGTAGCTTTGTTGCATAGTAGACCTAACGTATTCGCAGTATTCTTTCCAAAACTATATATTACTTAAAAAGCCAAGTAAGAAAAACAACTTTTTATATTTCCTCGCACCCATTTTCAAACGTTAATTAGTCAGTCACCTGCCAACACCATTGTATTTGGGGGCCTAGACTGGCGCACCGCAGCACAAGTGAATCGATAGTCACCTTAATGGTCCCTGCATGTCTCTACGGGAGCGCTGCAGCACCAGCAGCAACTAATCACATTAAATGGACTGTAGATGTCTGGACGGGTACGCTGCAGCTCCAGCAACAACTTGAATTGTCTGTGGATGTCTGGACGGGTACGCTGCAGCACCAGCAGCAGCTAATCACCTTGAATTGTATTTGGATGTCTGGACTGGTACGCTGCAGCACCAGCAGCAACTAATCACCTTAAACGGACTGTGGATGTCTTAACGGGTGGACTGCAGCACCAACAGCAACTATAATCACCTTAAACGGCTTGTGGATGTCTGGACGGGTGGGCTACAGCACCAGCAGCAACTAATCACCTTTAATTGTCTGTGGATTTCTGGACGGGTACGCTGCAGCACCAGCAGCAATTAATCACCTTAAACCGACTGTGGATGTCTGTACGAGTGGGCTGCAGCACCAGCAGCAACTAATCACCTTAAATGGACTGTGGATGTCTGGACGGGTGGGCAGTAGCACCAGCAGCAAAGTCCTAATCACCTTAAACGGACTGTGGATGTCTGGACGGGAGCGCTACAGCTGCAGTAACTGTGAATGTCCGGTAAAAGTAATTACCTTAAACGGCCGGTGTATGTCTGGACTGGTGCGCCGTAATACCAGCAGGGCTACCATGGCCCCGGCAAGAAACATCGACATCGTGAAGCTCAAAGCGTCGATGAGGGAGGCGATGCTCGAATTTAGGATTAGAAGCACTGCAATCGCGGCCTGGACAGTTCAATAAGTTAAGATGTCAAGAATTTTTATTTCAACATAATAATTAATGTATTTATAAAATTAATAGTTCGCATTTCTTAAAAAGTGACGCTCCTTGTTCACACAGCACTAATTCGACGTTTTGCTGGGCCAAACTGGGACAAGATAATACACTCGCAAGAACAAAAAGTGCATCGCCATTTGTAATCGGTCTCACTCATTTCTCTGAGTGAGGAAAGGATTTCTGACAGAGACATAGAAATGGTATAAGAATTGTGGACGGAAATGTAAACTTGGTATGAATATGGGTTATTATAATATTTTCTTGTACGAGATGTTAAAAAGAAAACTTTGATGTATAGGTTAAGGAAATAGAAACTTTTTGTGAGTTTGTTGAAGTGAAAATCAATGGAAATATTCGGCTTTATTGTAGTGGACACTTGGCAATCTTCGTGGCAATCAAAACATGGTTATGCAAATTAACTAAATCAAGACCGTCTCATGAGTAAAGTTGCAATAGAAACTTGATTGTTAGTGTTTTGGAATTGGAAACTTGAAGATATAAGAAAAAGAAATTGGATTGTGAACAATGGAAACTTTACACTTGATTAAAAAAATTGATAAGCATTATGTATTTTATTATCTTGCTATTTTAGCGTCACGCACGTTGAAAATGAGGGCGGCGGACGGCGTGTTCCTGTGGACATGGACGAAGGACAGCACGTCCATCATGTGGCCTTCCCGGGCCGCCGCAAAGCCCAGCCTGCCGAGGGTGGGGGAGCGTTATACTCAGTGAAATGAGTCAGACATTGTCTCAATAACGGTGTACTTTTTCTTTGTGTTGGTAATCTCGACATCCTGATAATGGCTAACCAGAAATGGGCATTAATGTACAGTGCGGGAAAGGCTGAGTTCTGCTAGAAGGCTGAGTTCTGCTAAAAAAAACCTTAGTTACCCTTTCAATTTTTTATTTAATTTAATAAAATGCTCATGCTCATTAACTTCATTTTAGTGTACCTTTTAAAACTCAGTTATCCATGAAAACCTTAGTTCCCCGCAAAATCAAAGTTCTAATTAAAAATCATAGTTCAGCTTGGCAAGTGAATACGCAATGGACGAATAACTAAAGTGGGATGGTCAACTGCATCGTATTCACCAGGATCGATGTGTAAATTATTCATCCACGGCTATTTGCTCATACCCTGCGTTCTGACATTTTCACCACAAAGACGTGACCTCTTGAATTAATTTCTTTAATTTACCTTATGATGGACCTTGAAATGCGTCTCGTTGAACTCCTGTCTGTTAAGGGGTATTAAGATTTTTTAAAAGGTACTGTGATTTTTCTACGAAACGACAATTTTTGAAGGATAACTTTGACAGAAAAAAACTAGGAATTATATCATAAAAATTATCCATGCAAATGGGATTAATGATTTAGATTTGGAACAATCAAAAAGCACGTTGAAGGGTTATTATTGGTGCGAAAAGTGTATTGTTATGAAAAATGTTATGCCAGAAATTGACATTGAATTTATGACTGTATTATCGTACAATGAGCTGGAATTCAGTTGATTTGTATTTTGCGATGGACTTATTACGATGTGGACTTTGATAATTAATTTCAGATGCATTTCTTTGCGTGGGAGTGGAAGGAAATCGTGAAAGTTTTAGTGTTCTGACAATGACTGTAAAAAAATTATTGCCGCATGCCATAACTTAAACCCTTCATCAGGGCATGACCGGGGTGACTCCTTCGTCCCGTGTGAGTGGCGTGACACTCTAGTTCCATGCGAGTGGTGTGACACTCTAGTCTCGTGTGACTGGCGTAACGCCCACGTCCCTATGTGAGTGGCGTCCCCCCCACGCCCCCAGACGAGGTATCACCCACCGCGCCGAGGTGAAGGCGTGGCAGCTAGCGGCGCCAAAAGTTGATAAAACCACCGCCAGGATCATGACCAGCTTCCCTGCCGTTCCCAGCAGTACGTGCCCGTACACCTGTTGACGATGACACTCAGTAAAATTTAATAGACCATGTTGTCCAAACATCGACATGTCTTTATATACCCACTTTATATGCAGAGAACTGACCTGGAATTTTTGTTACATACGTGTTTTTCTTTTTGTTTAGACTTTTGCCTGGCCAAATAGGTTACGGAAGACCTACACATAAGCAAAAGGGAATTGATATTTCGAAAGTCTACCTCATTCCTCTGCGGGTGCGTAGAATATGGCTGAATAACAAAGCTCCCGGCACAATATAGCAGCCCCTTCTACCTCACTGCTCGTGTCGATCCTCATTCAGCCTACATTACAAGGCATCTTTCTGCCGCCGAGGCGATACTGATAGAATTCCAAGTAATCTGTACTACTGGGAAATAACTGTTGAAAATTAGCGTAGACCTGCGTTGTTCTGGCTAATGCTGGCCTTTTTCACTTCACAGTTCAATTCCATGCAAGTGCAGAAGTACCGTCCGAATGCTGCAGCTTGCGTCGAACCCTGCAAAATTTTGCACCTACCGCGGACAACATTTTGTACTCACCTGATGATATATTTTTCTACCTACTCTGTACCAACTTTCTTTGTATGTATACCAACTTGATTTTTGTACACACAATGGACAGTATATTTGTACCTTCTGAGTACTGTATTTTCGTACTTGCTGTGTACCAACTTTCTTTCTATATGCACTTACTGTGTACATCTACCAAGTAAAAGTCTAAGCATTTAATTTAATTGAAGTGCTGTTAGAATTATTGGGAAGACTGAAATAAGTCAGATCTAGGTTAATCAGTCTGGTCTACGGTTGATGTCCAGAAATATGACATCCATCCAAAAGAACCGAAAAGCAAAACCTTCCTCTACCCTTGTTACGAATTATATCTTACGCACCGAAGTAACGAAAATTTGAAAAAATTGTATAAATTTTCAACGAGGCCCAGAAAAGAGAACAATATATGACGTTAATTACGGCAGCAACGGTTTCCGAGGCGAGTAACTCGTCCGGACTCAAGACTGCGAGGTAGCTGACGTTGACCAGCATGTAGCACAGCGTTACCGTGGGTAACGCGATCATGATGGCACGGGGCAGGTTACTGAGGACATCCAACAGTATAGGGTAAGATATAATGTGTGATACTGTTAATTAATTGCATATATAAATTACCGCCTACTTGCAACTACGGGATCACTTTTGGATTGCATTGATTCAATGAAGGGAGCTGAAATCCCCTCCTCCAGTTCTGTCTTCTATCGCAGTAATACAAGAACATCATTCCCAGTCAATAATCGTATGTAGTAACAGACAACCTTTACAAACCATGATCTCACGCCAAAAAGCAAAAGACTTTTCCACACCCGAACATATTGATCAATACTGAATTCATCTAGCCATTTAATTTTAAATAATGAGATAATTATTATTTGTGTACAGGCACCTTTTATACCGGCTTAACTAACTCACATGGCCGGTTCCTTCAGCTCCTCGGTGACGTTATTCAGGTTGGTCCTGCAGGTAAAATCGGTTTTAGTGCTATTCATATTAGTGTGCATTTCCCTCAGGTATTTGATATCACTGGTATCACTAACATTATGTTAGATTGACAACGGAATTGTTTATATGACATTAAATAAATGCGAGAAACATTTTTTATGCATAGGGTCACATGTATACTTTTAAACGTAACATGTATGAATAGTACGCTTAGTGCTAAAAACAACGTTGCGCCACGCTTACGTCTAAGCAAATGTAACGATTGCCCAAGGGGAGCGCCTGGGTCCCAGAAGAACTTCTTTATTTACGGATGGATCACTTTGAAACTTGGTACACATGTATAAAACAAAAATCTAAGACTATTAAGTTCGTGTAAATTTTTGGAAAAATGGATGAAAACGTGAAATTCTTAGAAAACGGCCAAAAAGGGGGTATCGTATAAAATCCGCATCTCCTTCTAGGACCGTATCTCCTTCTAGGATTTTCAAGGTACAAGACCGAAACACGTATCAGTCGATGCGTAAAGACCATATCTATCGATTGGTTGAAGCTTCTTTCGAAATTCTAATTTTTGTGGGAGGATAGGCATTTTTTCGTAAATTTTTCGATTTTCCCCCCGCGCCCCCCTTTTTCAAAATATTTTCAAAACTATAACGTATTTAAAAAAAGGCTACAACCATTCTCTAGATTTTTTGCGAATCGAATGTTGTATTTCTCAATGCTGTCGCTTCAAAACTGTAGGGGAGATAGGTTTGCAGTGAGAGAAAGTGTGATTTTTCAGGAGAGCCGGCAAAGCGCCGACCGGTCGCCGCGCGCTATATATAGGAATTTCTCGCAGCCAGGGCCTATACTTTCAAAAAAAGTTAAGAGATCGTAAGTTCATCAGCCAATCATTGGCGGCCTTTCTAGCAAAATCCACCAATCATAGACAAGAAAATAGAGCGCAAGTACTTACGTTCACTTTTCGAGTTTTGAAAGTATGGCCCTTGGATACTAAAGTTACGCGTTATTTCACTTGGAAGCCAGACGAAGAGGCAGAGAATGACTGCATGAACATCTTCCCGCATGATAGCTCGTGTGTGACTGAAGCGCAAGGCACACTTATATGTGCTGGGGCCGTATTATCAAAACTTCGTAAGTACGCAAAATCGACTTACGAGTGGCGTTGCTATGACAACGTAATACTAGCGGTGGTATTATAATAACATTTGCGCGGGAAAAATGTGCGCGGGAAAAAAATTTAGGCTTTTAGCTAAGATTTGCGTACGAAAGCTTTGCTAATGCCAAAATTAGGGTGTATTTACGTACCACAGAACTTTTTTGTCGTAAGTACAAAAAGTTACGAAGTTTTGATAATACGGCCCCTGGCCGGTAATTTCGGCCCATAGCCATTTGTTAAAGGCTCGCCGGGCCGTAACTTATTCGTGATCTGTCGTGAACGCATAAATCAACGTACAGAGATGGTTTTGGTACCGTTGGATAGGTGAAAATTGCAGCTTCAAGATGAGCATAAAAACAGGAAAAACAGAAATGTGTGATTTTTGACCTAGACGCTCCCCTTTCAATTAAGCACATCAACAATTGCCCATTCATTCGTCAAAGAAAAAATTAAGTCTACCCATTACTGAGCACATCACTACCATTAGACTGATCACGACCATTACGCTGACTGCATCACCGGTAAGCTTGCATAAATTTGAGAAGTAAAGTCCTGATTTTCACGAATTCATTTCTTTACAATAGTTTATGTTTGATAGCACAACGACATAATTATTTGACCAGCATTCGCAGCTCAAAGGCAGACGACACTGTTTCATCAACCATCACAATATACTTGTAAATGGGATATGATATAGGTCCTAATATTCATTCATTTCGTGCTTTAAATTAGCTTCAGCGTAAAATATACAATGGCTATCAGCGTAAAAATATACACTAACTGACCATCCATCGTAGGCCCAGAGGCCGCTGTAGAAGGCAGTGGCGACATCCCCCAGCTTGTTGGTGGAGCCCGTGAAGCCCGTCGCCAGGTACTGCGTGTTGCCTTTGGCGAGTTTGTGATCCCACCAGCGACGATCACGAGGATCGCCAGCAGCTTGGTCGCCGTGAACACATTCTGCACCTTGGTGGCCAGGGTTACCGAGTAAGAGTTGATGAACGTGATCAGCACTGCCGGGAGAATGAGAAATTAGTGGGACTATGTCCAAAGAATGATGCACGTTCTGCACCTTGTTGGCCAGGGTCTTAGGGTGATGCACATTTTGGCGAATATTGCTGCAAAAAAGAGGAGGATTTGGTAAATAGTATGATTCCTTGCCACAATAATGAGAGTGCAGTGAATGTTTTTGTCTTATAGCCGCTAATAATTTGAAATAAATAGAAAACCTAAGTTCAATATCCAATAAAATAATGCACCATAATGAACTCTGTTGTAACAAATAATGGGAGATAAGGTATAACACATACCGGACTTTTTTAGGTCACATATTTTTCATCATATTAATTTAGTTAAATTATCATGCTTTCTACACAGGAATTCAACTAAAATATTGTAGTTTTGTTCATAATACAACATTATTTACTCTAACAAAATGACATCCAGTAATTAACTTGCGAATAATTCAAAGAATTCCCATTTGAAAAATTATTCACTGATCGATCAGCTTTAATGAGTCGACGAGCTGACAATGACAGTGATACTTTAAATTCGTCAACGTAAACTTACTAATGCAGCAGACAGCAAACAACTTCACGGTTGTTCTTGGTGGGATGAAGTCCATGCAACCGACAGAGAAACACTCAACTAAGTACTCGGCAAACGTCAGGGTGAGGATGGCGAGGGCTGAAGGCTTCAGCAGAAAAACAGAAACCCAACTGAAGAGGAAAGCTGGTAACGGCCGATACCAGGCACCCCTGTAAACGGCAGGCGGCGGGCGCTGCATGCACCAATGAACCGGCGACTTGAACAGACTCTTCCTGGGAGCAGCTTCCTGATTGGCGGATTTTGAAATCGGAGTCGTCTGACTGGCTGTATTTGAATGGACAACGGTTTGCGCGGTTGACTGATAGCTCGTTTGGGACGCTGAAGGCCCTGTTAGGATGGCCCTAGTTCGAGCGCCGTGACTTGAGCGTGAATCCTCAAACTTCTCATCGCTGCTGAAAACAAAGTTCTGTACTCCCTCGTCACTGAAAACTTTTTCTTTGCGTTTCTTAACCGGCGCGAAGGCTTCTAGAAAGTAGGCGTATTCTGCACCTGATTCTGGGAGAGCCGTGCCCAGCTCTGCGTAGCATAGAGCGCCTATAGAGTGACAATAATATTCGATCATCGATATTTGATAAAACAAAATTAATAATTATTATATTATACTTATAATGGCTACAGAATACTAAAAAGGTTCAGATCGAATTGAATTTATTAAATAGTTTCTTATGTTATAAATGTGCAAAGAGAAAAAATAATTTTTTTGCAGACGATTATTTAATTTGTGTTTTAGAGTGGAGGTTGTGATGAATAAATAAATACATTAGCAAATTTCTGATCTCTGCAAATAAATTTTTTATTTCATCGCCGAATTCACGGAGTTCGAGAAAAATCTAAGTCTAGTGCAATCTCGGAAATTTGATTATTATTTAGGATAACATGGGATCCACAATTTTTTGCCAAATTCACCATCATGCGCTGTTTTCAACATAGAAATTTGGACAGAAAACATCGAACACAAAAAAATATTTTGGCAGATTTTGATATTCTACGTGAAGAAATAACATCAATAACCAAGAAAAGTTTAAGGAATGGTAAATCAAAATCATGATATGAAATTTACATTGGAATATAAATACTTTTAAAAAAATATTAGAGTCTGAAATATCGATTTCTATGATTATTGACGACGTTTGTGCAACAATTTGTATAATATAAAAGGGATATTTTTTCTTGAATTTGAATTACGGGATTTTAAACTTTTCATTTGAATATCACTAAATGAAAGTGATAGGAATTATTGATGACTCACCCAACATGGAAAGGACCCCACAGAGGCCCCAGATGAGCAGGCTGAGCCCCACAGACTTGGTGCGCTGCAGGACTCCCTGCGGGGACACGAAAATCCCCGACCCTGCAAGGGGATTTAGGGTTAGGGATGAGGATTTGAATTGGAAATCAAACTTTGTACAATGATTTGCAATAAACAAATTATTTCGACTGCAAACCTCGGGGGTAAGAGGCTTAATATCCATATCTTTTATTTAATTTTTTAAATACATTAAAAAATACACTGCGTGGACACGAAGAATATCTCAATGCCTTTGCGTTTAATTGTAGATCTTTATATTTAAAAATTTTTCAGAAATAGTAGAGATACAAAATCATCAACAGAAATTAATCAACCATGCTTGACCTCAATGACAAGTTATTTACTGACAATATTCTTAATCTGCATTGGCTAACTGGCAGAAGCTCAAAGTACAAAAAGTTTACTTCCTGATGGTCCATTAATAAATTTCCCTTTAAGCGAAAACCAGTTTTATTTTGGATGGTGGCTTTATTATTCTAGTTGAGGGGCAAGTTCCACCGCCCCACTCATCCATTAACCCATCTACTCACTGGTCATTACGCTCACTCACCTATCATGTCACCCACTCACTGGCCATGTCACCCACTCACTGTACATTGCACCCACTCACCTATCATGTCACCCACTCACTGTACATTGCACCCACTCACCTATCATGTCACCCACTCACTGTTCATTGCACCCACTCACCTATCATGTCACCCACTCACCTATCATGTCACCCACTCACTGTTCATTGCGCCCACTCACCTATCATGTCACCCACGATGAGGGCCACACCACTCCAGAGGCCCACTCTGCGCTCGAGTTTGACACTCCCGGGCCGACCTTCGAGTAGGGCCCCACCCGGGCCAGTGGCTGGCCCCACCAGCTGCGCCCTACTCGGGCCAGTGGCTGGCCCCCCTGCACAACCCGTTGATGCTGCAGCAGCTGCACTATAACCTAACGATATTATTAATACCGAAGTTATAATGCAAATAATTATTTTGATGCTAAAAAATGACGACTGAAATAATAGAAAGAAACATGAAAATAGTTGTAAAATACGAGCTTAAATTAACATAATCAATAAAAATATGCAAAAACGCGTGCTTTAGAGCGAAAGCGACGGATCAAGACACTAAAATAAATGAAAATTTGATTTCTGTTCTCTGAAAATAATTCTGAGTAGTAATAGAAGCCGAGGATACATTCAGAGGAAGCGACTAACCGAGAAGATCCGCGGATTGCGGCCGCCACCAGCCGGCGACTGCCACCAGCCTCCAGCCGGTCCAGCCGGTGACAGCCACCAGCCTAGCTCCAGCCGGCGACTGCCACCAGCCTCCAGCTGGTGACTGCCTCCAGCCTCCAGCTGGCGACTGCCACCAGCCTCCAGCCGGCTATTTTGATCACCCAGAACCAAAAATTGAGTCGTCGTCGCACTAGTGACATATTTTTTAAAATTGCAATAAGAAAAAGCGATAATATATTGGAACAATGTCAAATTGGAACTATTTTATGTTCCTTCAGGATATACCAACGATCAAATAGAGTAAATTTGACCGAAAATCCATACCAACGTCTTACTTATTTCATCAGCAAACATTTGAGCCAGAAATTTCCCAAGATTCGCATCAAAATTGGTTCATCAAACATGCAGATTAATTTCATCTAGATTTCACTTATGCAGCTCAGAGATCACTTAACAAACGTTGAATCTCAGCTGATATGAGCACATATATTCGCCATTTTATCGTCACCCATGATATGGATAGTTACAACGTTTACGGCGTTAAAACAGTGACTCAAGAGTTGAACGTCGAAACAAAATAACAAAATTAGAAGTTTTACCAATAATTATTTTTGTTCTAGTTTCCCTCATGATCGCAAGTATCCGAAATTAACCTTCTTGAACCGCACTTTTGGTGAGCTGCCGCTTAAGAATACAAAAAATATCCGCATCGACCTCCACATCAGGGCAATAATTGAATAGCATGAATAATAACAGCGGTTTCAGCGTCTGTTAGGCCGTAAACCTGTCGCTGATTCATAACCTCACAGAAAATTCAAACCTTGTTGCGGTCTCGAACACGCAACTCAGTGCTCCAATTCTGTTTTGTATAGCTGTCTGGCCTCCTCGCCGATTGTGACCAGAAACTGTCACACTGAGCTGGGATCGAACCTTCACCAATCCTAGTACTCTGAGCTGTAACCACTGGGCCACCGTGCCCAATAAAATATGCTCACATCCTTGGTAACAGACCTCTTCTTTTTAATGATGTAAAGTTCATTTATATTTTCTTGATTGTGAACAAGAGTCATCAGCCAGAGTATATCCAGAGCTGGGCAGCGCTACTTGGAAATGTAGCGGCGCTACCTCTACCGCTACATGCTCTAAATGTAGCGGGCGCTACCGCTACCGCTACATGCTCTAAATGTAGCGGGCGCTACCGCTACCGCTACATGCTCTAAATGTAGCGGGCGCTACCGCTACCGCTACACCCACTAGATTGTAACGGGTGCTACCGCTACCGCTACAGTAAAATGTAGCGCGCTACATTAGCCGCTACAATGGCCAAAATTATTGGAAATCTATAAATATTTATTGTTCTGCTATTGGGATTTAATCATTAACATTTAATGATAATAAAACATTTTTAAAACATATCAATGCAACTTTATTGCAATTAACCTAACCCAACTAGTACGGGTTACCCCAGGGTTAGATACAGTAAATAGAAGTTACAGTTATTTTTATGTTTTACCTTCCCTACATGGATGTGAACTTTAATCTACCAATCTAAGAAATTATCCACATATACATTTAAAAATCAGTCTTTTTTGTATATATATATGGATTATTTTCGAGATTGGTAGATTAAAGTAGACATCCATGTAGGGAAGGTGAAACATAAAAATAACTGTGTAAAAATAACTCAGCAAACTTAAAGATGAAAAAACCTGTAAGTGGTAACTGGTAACAACTTAACAAGTAACAGCTAACATGTTGACACTAGTAACAGGCTGAGGTTGACAACATTACACCGAAATCTTTCGTACAGTTTTATTCTGTAATTTATATTATGTATGTATCATGCTTTTGTAAAAACAATACCTAGCGACTCTAGAAGCCTTTTTTTAATATGTGCATGGTTTGACTTATATATGGGAGGGGGAGGAAGGTGAGGGGGTAAAAATGTGAAAAAATGGGAAGAACGCGAAAAAAACGATGAGGAAAATAAAAAAATCGGGGCTATACAGTCGCTAGATATTGTTGTTACAAATCGAATGATATATGTCTCGACATTGTAGCATGTGATTTGCAAAAGTTATAAACTTTTTTAGAGTACCCCTTATATGCCGTTTTCTCTTAATTCCATGTTTTCTTTCATTTTTTTAAATTTACTTGAACAAAAAGGTCTTAGATCTCTGTTTTACATATCTGTACCAAGTTTCAAAACAATCCGTCTGTAAACAAAAAAGTTTTGTTGGAGGGTAGCCGGTCCACTTAAGTAAAATCTAAAGGCTTTATCTATAAATGTAGCGGTAGCGCTGTAGCGGCAAAACCTCGTATCGCTACTTAAATATGTAGCAGGCGCTACTGCTACCGCTACATTGCCTTAAATGTAGAGCCGCTACCGCTACCGCTACTGCCCACCTCTGAGTATATCAGATGCTTCCTACGAGCAGGCAGGACAGGACATGTAAAATAAGTTTGCAAAATTAGCGGAGTTTGATGCATGCCGGGGCGAAGAGTTGTTGGAATCTGGGTTTGTGTGTTTGACGTGGATCAGATTTCGGCGTGTGTACATTTTTTCGGTTTCATTTTCGCAGCCTCTAGTATTTCATGCTTATTGAATAGTAAAAAAGTAAGAGAATCTAAACACTACTATATCTGAACGCTTTAATTTGGCTGTAACCTGTAATTCAGTATATATATTTAGCTTACAACATATGAAAAAAGCACTAAAATGGCAGCTATAACAAAAGTATACAGTATATAAGTGTACACTATAATATAAATAGTATAAAAGTATATATCCAGCACGCGGTAAAATAAATATAACAGATCTCCCAGCACAGGTGCAACAGTCGCACTCGTTGCACAGCTGAGCTATCCCGGTGAAGGCTGACACCAGCAACTGCACCTCTGAGAACTCAGTGATACTCAGTGGAACTCAGTGGTACTGAATGGTATTCAGTGGTACTCAGTGCTACTCAGAGTTACTCAGGGGTACTCAGTGGTACTCAGTGGTCTCATTAGTACTCGGTGGTACTCAGTGGTACTCAGTGGGACTGAGCAGAGTTGTAACTTGGTGGTGAAACACTGAGTTTGATAGTGAAACACTTGATGAATCGATGGTTATATCTTGATGGTGAAAACACCTATCTTCTCGGATGCGCTTCGGCAGTCTGTATTGAACGCCATTATACCTTCTTAATTCTATTTTTTGTTAGAATGATCACTCTCAGTTTTCGTTATGCGTATTTGATTTGAAATGCATGTTGGCTCTTACTTTATTTAGGAGGCAGACACCGGCTTGACCTTGGGCGTTACCCTTTCCTGTGGTATAACCACCTTGGCCGTAGGCATATAAACTTAAATTAAATTCCTTAATATATATATATTTTTACCTTGATAACATCAGAATTCTTCTTCTAGTTAGATTTATTATTGCCTCGGAGTCTGCCTCTCCAACTACTTTCATAATTTCCCTTCACATGGCCTCTTAACATGCCTCTTAAAGTTACAGCTTAAGCACTTGCTGGCTAAAGATTTTAAGGTGGGTCCAGGGCTGTTATAGTGACATAATGAGTCTTACATTTAGGCTCATAGAACATATAATTTGATTACCAAGTATCTTGCAGCTATTTTCTCTTTTTATTCGATAGAATAACTGCGTATCCGGTGGGAAACGACCTTCGATATTTTTTGAGGACTTTCAGCGACACAGTTTACGATACAAAGAGCCTTCAGTATGTCAGGGTGTGTAAAACATGTAGCACTTTGCTTCTGTGAACTTATTTAATTGAAATTATTTGCGACATTGGAATAAGATTGCTGTAATGCTGAATTGTATAAATTAAAATTTACTTCTTGCTTCTACAGTTATGTTGGGCCGGGTTTATTCGTCGGCGATAACCTGTATAGGAACCGCTCCAAGTGTTATTTTTTGGGACTTGGTTCAATCCTTGATAATTTGTGAATACATCTGTTTCCTCAAGCTTTGGACCAGTCAACTCTGAAATAAAAGTTTCATTTGTTTGCTGTTTTGTATTAAGCCTAACAGTAGTCAGTGGTACTCAGAAGTACTCATTGAGACTCAGTGGTACTCAGTGGAACTCAGTCGAACTCAGTGGGATTCAGTGGGACTTAGAGGTACTGATTGTGACTCAGTGGGACTCAGAGATGCTCAGTGGTACTCAGTGGTATTCAGTGGGACTCAGAGGTTCTCAGTGGGACTCAGGTGGGACTCAGTGGTACTCAGTGGTACTCAGCGGTACTCAGATGTACTCAGAGGCACTCAGAGGCACCCAGAGGTACTCCGAGGTATACAGTGTTATTCAGTGGGACTCAGTGTTGCGCAAAGGTACTCAGTGGGACTCATTGGTGCTCAGAGGTACTCAGTGGTACTCAATGATACTCAGTGGTACTCTTTGGTACTGAGATGTACACAGTGGTCTACTGACGTACTCAGATTTGTGCAGAGTTAATTCGAGGCACTTATATAACCACTCTTTGGAACTCAAGGGTACTGAGAGGGATTCAGAGGTACTGAGATCTTTTCAGTGGGTCTCAGAGGTACTGAATGTTACTGAGATGTACTCAATGGTACTCAGAAGTACTCGAATTACCTGAGAAATACCCAGGGCTCTGTTACTCACCTGCCTTGTCCCTGGTCGCCAGGGGGACGTCGCTCCTGCTGGCAGCGGCGCTCCCGAGCCCTTCCATCGGGGTTACGTCGAACGACTTGCGTCTTTTAAACATCAATAATTGCTTCAAAATAATAATGCAAAGTCTGAAAGTTCTCTTTCACCCAAATTAATTAGGTAGTTTTCTAAAAGAGTTCAATGTCATCAAAAAATTTATTGCTTGATTCATGATATTATTCTAACATTTGACACAATTTTGGTAAAATTTCTTCATTGTTCCAAGATTATCAGTTCATTGTTTAGACATTATCTGGCAATAAAACATTAAAAAGTGGAGTGAATTTTTCGCAGGCGAAGAATTTGCAGCAATACAAAATAACGGAAGTACATCGTCACATGATTTGAAACAAGAACCAATAGCAGGGGCCACGGCTATGAACGAAAAAACTTATCCACGCGCCAAAATTTCTTCTCGCTTCGAATCACCGACATGTGGAACAGCCTCCCTGATGACATCGTTGGCGCTCCAAGTATGAACGCGTTCAAGAACTGACTAGATAAAGCTATGGAAAAATATATGTTCAGATTTGAAATGCCTATAGCACTATATCGAACCCGGCGGAAGTCTAGTAGCCTTTTCAAACTCTCGTCAGTCCTGAAAATATCCGGTCAAATGATGCGAATTTAGATCTTCTGTGAGCAAGTCACGAAAAGTAAAAGAATCGGCGACAGGCCACTTCATTCCATATCTTCGGCGCCTTCATCACTAGTTTATGTTATGAAACCTTCATACGTCGAGAAAGTGGTTAGAGACTGAAGCGGATGTTCAAAATGCTGTATAACGAGCACCTTTGTGCATCGAGCGTGATCCTGCATGTCCATCCGATAGTGACTTGAAAACTGAACACCGAACCTGCAAACAAATATTGATAAACGATGAGTAGGCCTACAAAGAATTAACGTTTGAAATTTCGTATTATCGAGCCCACAGAAACCAATCAGCACCAAAAGGAAACATCACAACTATATACTGCCAAATTCAGATGTACAGCAACAATAATGCGAATAACTACAAAATTGGCAAAATTAAAATTTTGCGCCACCAAAATAATACATAAATAGAAATATTTGCACAAAACAGTTATTTCTGTAAAATTCAGGCATATTGTATTTACTATGCGTATATTTTCCGCTATGTACACATTTAATGCTATGCATAACGTCATCCCGCAAGCTGTGAGGCCACAACGCAAGGTATCCCAATCGAAATTAATTATTTTATCAACATTAATGTAGATTTAAACTTTAATAACTAATTTATGGTAGGTGCAGATCGAATTAATCGATATAAAATAATCGCCAGAAATTCTGATGAAATTATAAATCGTTTGGTTACATATAGCCTTATATCTGAATTTTCATCCATCTAGTCTTTGAAATGGGTAGTAATATATGGGGTCTGATATATTGAGTGACATTTTGGCTGTTGGCCATTACATAACACTTTTTGTAATATTGGGTTTGAATCTCAACTTATTTTTTATAAAAAATCAGTAAAATTTTGGTTAAATTAAAAAATTTAGGTGTACATTTCAAAATTTCGTTCGGTGTATTTGCATTTCATGAACCATTGCCTGACTCGGGTCCACATCTACGAAGCTTGACCAGGTGCACAGCGCACACACACAAAGAATACATTTACAAATGCAAACAATTCTCTGTGTGGACGCACACACACACCACGCACACATGTACACGCGCATGAAATATTGCTATTCACTCCACGTCTGTTGGTACGCGTGTCTTCAACAGACACAGCATTTGGACACGAGTTGCCTCAACAGACACGACATTTGGACACGAGTTGCCTCAACAGACACGACATTTGGAAACGATTTGCCTCAACAGACACGACATTTGGAGACGAGTTGCCTCAACAGACACAACATTTGGACACGAGTTGCCTCAACATTTGTACACGAGTTGCCTCAACAGACACAACATTTGGACACGAGTTGCCTCAACAGACACGACATTTGGACACGAGTTGCCTCAACAGACACGACATTTGTACACGAGTTGCCTCAACAGACACAACATTTGGACACGAGTTGCCTCAACAGACACAACATTTGGACACGAGTTGCCTCAACAGACACAACATTTGGACACGAGTTGCATCAACAGACACGACATTTGGACACGAGTTGCCTCAACAGACACGACATTTGTACACGAGTTGCCTCAACAGACACAACATTTGGACACGAGTTGCATCAACAGACACGACATTTGGACACGAGTTGCCTCAACAGTCACAACATTTGGATTTGTGTGGCCTCAACAGACACGTCAGTTGATGATGGGTCATTTCACTGGTTCGCTCGTTCTGATACATCAATTCCTCATGATTATGTAGCCTATCAATGCCTAATACATGCAAAGCCAAAGTTCTTCGGCAGAGATGAACCGGTTTTTGCAACAAATGATTGATCAAACGTAAAAAACGTTTGTTGGCACTGAAAATAATTTTAAAGCAACAAAACGTTGAAAAAGTTTAATTAAAACTAATGAATATTATATTTAGAGTAACCAAAGTTTGATTCCAAATCAGTTATTTTAAATTTTTGATATCGAATATTTTACTGCTTCTTAAAAAAGCAGGTCTTCTCTCCGTATGAAAAATTTCAGTCACTTACGAGTACATTTCGCACCACATCTTATATGAGTGGCGTTCAGAGAAAATTTAAGATTTTATTAAAATTAAAAATTATTTATACCTGATGTTAATGCAGGCTTAAAAATTGTTTACATTATATTAAAAATAAATAAAATTCAGTATTATATTTAGGTTCATTTGTACAAAATTTCTTGTCGCATACGTTTTTGGAAGTCCAAAATAAGTTCATAAGTCGCATTGGCGGCTTCGGTGTCGGTGGAACTGTGCTGTTCGCATACGCAACTGACATTTTCCAGAAAATTTTTTAATGTCAGCCTGAGTGTGTCAACCTCCTCACGTTTGGCAAGCACAGTATGAACCAAGTGTGTACACTTGTGACTTCATGTATGTCTTAAACATTCGAAGTTGCATGAGCTTAAAATATCTTAACAACACATTTTTAATTCTGATTTTTCATCACTCTCATCATTAATATACTGTCAACTCAATGCACGGTAAAACTTGTTTTTAACGATAGCGCTTACACGTTTTTAGAATCACGAGCGCGCTCTAAACATTATTATGGAAGCAGTGACGCTGATCGGAGCGTCACACGTGCGCACCAAACCACTGCCACAGCGTTACTGAACTTCTGATCGTCGTTCCCAACTTCCCGTCTCCCGACACAAACGTCTCGGTCTTTGTAATGCAATCAGCTGTTGAAGGCATGACTAGATTGCATGCAAGTCTCCATCAGTGAATGTAAACATAATTTGGGTTTTGAACTCATTAATCTCATCTGAAGTTATTGCTTCAGCTGAATACCGCTTTGAACAAACAATTATTTTTATACTCAAACATACGGAGTGCCGCACGTTAAGACACATGGCACTTAGAGCTTATTTGTGCAAATGCCAAGTTATTTCTGAGTGATAACTATTGCAGGAACTAACAATTTTTCATGGTGTAACTGTAGATAATAAGGAGGTGACTGAAGGAAATTACTGTAATAGTGGTAAATAGACAACTTTAATACCTCCATTACATTTTTACCGGCTCCTACCGTCCCTCTGTTGAAAATTCCTAATTTATTGAGGTTTATGCGTACGGACAAGGCCAGTAATGGCGGCCAGTAGTACAACTTTCAGATACTAATCGCCTTTATTTACCGGGTTCTTGGCTCATTAACGCTCTGCAAAAGGCCAGTAGCATAATAATTAGTCACGGTTAGTATTTATTCTATGATCATGCCACCCATCAAACCCCGAACCCGAAAGGCTTGTCCTAGATGAGTAAGGACATGAGTCCTCTCGTACAACCTCGACTATCCCCATCGGTATCACATCACATCACATCATCCACCTTTATCATCCCTCGAACAGCCTCATTAGCCACCAACACAACCCGACTCCTCGAGACCACAGACTTGCAAGATTCAACTTGTAAGAAATATAGCCTAGACTACTCACTGCTTAACTCTATGTCCTAAGCGACGACTTTCAGTGCTATCACCGCCCAACTAATAAGACACACCGACAACGCGACCGGATTATCCGCTGTTACTGATGACGCCTCGGCCATCAACAAACTTACCCTCAAAATGCCGACCGAAATGTTAAGCAATACCCAAAAATAAATTAAGGGAGGCGCACCGATGATTGCAAGGTGTTCATACATTTTTCAAGCCAAAGTGAAGCCACTGGGCATTTATATCAGACTGTTCCCGATGTAAATATTGTCCGAGGAACATTGGAAAATTTTGTCACAAAAAATACAGTTTTCAAAAGTTGACAGTGAATCCAATATTTATGTTCACATGAGATATTGAGTAAATTTATTGCGAATTTGGCGCATGCGCCAACTGGCTGTGTTGGAAATATTGCGATCAAGTCAGACTAATTATTGTATCATTAGATATAAATTGTATGGATCGATTAAGTGCTTTATATAATATTTACAATATTCTCAAATAGCCCCATTTATGTAAACTCTAAAGCCACGTTGCCATACGTAGTCGGCAGCAGCTAGGGATGTCTAAAAGCGATTCGCCTCGGCAGCTTCCAAGCGAACCGAGCAAGTCTAGTAAGCACACTTTCACGTTCATATGAGTTGGGTTGACGCGCGCCGGCTTTGAGCTTCGTAATCTTTACCATGTCCTGCTTGAAATGTGTGCTTTCCGGGTAATTTGCTTGTCAAAAATGTATCCTTCTTATGCAGAGGGATACGAATAAAAGTTCGGTTTTCCATCGCTGACTTCGAAAGTGAAATTTAATTATTTAGGGGACATTTGCTATACAGTCAAATAAATATACCGATTTTACAACACTTCTCTTTAACTTCACTTCTTGTTTGTCTGTTTGTCTGTCTGTCTGTCTGTCTGCTACAAATCTTGTAATTGAAATTTAACACACTTCTACTTATCCTATCGATCTGAAATTTTGCATACCTGTTCAAAGTTGGAGACAATGCATGAATCAAATGTCAAAATAAATGATTTTAAAAAGTATTTTTTTTTCAATATTAAAAAATTGAAAAAATAATTTGTCAGCTACAAATCTTATATATATATAACTGATATTTGACACACTTTTACATGTCTAATTGATCTGAAATTTTGCACACTTGTGTG